TATCGATTTTATTTATTCTTTTGAAAAACCAACTCTTCGATTCATTAATTTTTTGTATCATTCTCTTAGTCTCCATTGCATTGATTTCTGCTCAGATCTTTATAATTTCCTTTCTTGTACAAGCTTTGGGTTTGTTATGCTCTTCTTTTTCTAGGAGGTTAAGGTTCTGCATTAGGTTATTTATCTGAGTCCTCTCTGTTTTCCTAATATGGGCATTCACTGCTACTAATTTCCTGCATAGAACTGCTTTCATTGTGTCTCATAGATTCCTGTATGTTGTACTGGCATTATCATTTACTTGTAGAAACTGTCTAATTTCTTTTTTAATTTCCTCTGTCACCCATTGGTTGTTCAAGAGGGTGTTATTCAATTTCCATGTGTTTGTGGGGTTTCTTATGTTATTGACCTCCAATTGTATTGCACTATGGTCTGATAATATATGGGGGGTAACTTCAATTCTTTTACATTTACTTAGACATGGCCTATGAGCTAGCATGTGTACTATTTTGGAGAATGACCCGTGTGCAGCTGAAAAGAATGTGTATTCTGATTTTGTGGAGTGGAACACTGTAAGTATCTATTAAGTCCATTTGTTCAATACCTTGGTTCAGTTCTAAAATTTCGTTAACTTTTTGTCTAGATGATCTGTCTATTTATGATAGTGGTTTATTGAAGTCCCCCACTACAATTGTATTAGTGTCTATTTGACTTTTTATGTCCATTAATATTTGTTTTGTGCAGTTGTGGGCATTCGTATTTGGTGCATATATATTTAGAATTGTCATCTCTTCCTCTTGGATTGTTCCCTTCACAAGGATGTAGTGAACACCTTTGTCTCTCTTAATTAGTTTTGGTTTGAAATCTACTTTGTCTCCAAATAAGATTGCTACCCCTGCTTTTTTCTGGGTTCCTGTCGTGTGAAGAACTGTTTTCCATCCTTTTACTTTCCATCTATGAATTTCTTTTTGAGTTAGGTGTGTTTCTTGTATACAGCATATTGCTGGATTTCGCTGCTTTTTGTTTTGTTTTGTTTTGTTTTTTGGTACCAGGGATCGAACTCAGGTCCTTGCACTTTCGAGGCAGGAGGCAGAACCACTGAGCTAAATCCCTGGCCCTGGATTTTGCTTCTTAATCCATTCTGTCAGTCTATTTCTTTGGTGAATTGAGGCCAATAACATTGAGAGTTATAATTGATAGATATTGACTCATCCTTGTCATGATGTTTTGCTGTTGTTGGCTCTTTTATTTCTTATTTTTTCACCCTTTCCCTTTAGTTTACCTTGCCTGGTAGCTTCCCTCTGTTGGGCCTCATGGAGTTGTGACCTTCATTGTCTTTTTCTAGGATATTGCTTAGAATTGTTTGGAGTGCTGGTTTGGTGTTCATGAAATTTCTCAGGTGTTCTTTGTCATGGAAGTATCTAATTTCCCCATAGATTTTGAAAGATAATTTTGCAGGATACAACAGTCTAGGTTGGAAGTTCTTTTCTTTTCTTTTTTTTTTGGTACCGGGAATTGAACTCAGGACCTTTCACTTTCGAGGCAGGTGGCGGAACCACTGAGCTAAATCCCTGTCCCTGGAAGTTATTTTCTTTCAGGGCTTGAAATACTTCACTCCAGGCTCTCCTTGATTTAAAGTCTGCCGTGATTCTGATGGGCTTTCCTTTGTAGGTGATTTGTTTATGTTCTCTAACTGCCTGTAGGATTTTGTTCTTCTGTTGGGTTTCTGGGATCTTGACTATTATGTCTACGTGTAGATTTATTTTGATCATGGCTAGTTGGAGTTCTATATGCCTCACTTATCTGTATGTCCAATTCTCCACCTCTGTCTGGGAAGTTTTCTACTATTACTTCTGTGAGCAGTTTTTTTTTTATGTCAATTGTACTTTCTCCTGTTTTTTTGTGGACTCCTATCAGTCTTATGTTTTCTTCTTTGCATCATCTAGCAGCTGCTGGATTGATTTCTCATGTTCCCTTAATATTTTTAAGAAATCTCTGTTTTCATGGTCCTTAACTGCAATCCTGTCTTCTATATCTGATATTCTATCTTCAGATTCCTTAATCTGCTCTGCATGCTTTCAATGGAGTTTTTAATTTCCTGAATATCTGTTTTAATCTGTTTCATGGATTCCATTTCTTTCTTATGTTGGGTGATCATGGTTTCCATTTCTTTTTTATTCTGGGCATTCATGGCATCCAGCATGTTTCTGAGCTCATCTATTTTTTTTTATCTGTTTCTGTTCTAGAGCCTCTAATCATGTCTTTCACTCTGCTCACCGTCTCTGTAATCTGGGAAATTATTTCTGTTTTGAAGTTTTCTAGAGCCTCACTCATCTGTTTTATTACTTCCTGTGTTATCAGTTCAGGGCATCCAGGTGGTTGATTATCAGACTTTTCCACCTCATTTCCCCCAGAATTTGCCTTTTATGGGAAGTCTGAGTTTGTGCCTTACCTAAATGTCTTCTCATTTTTGTTTCTGGTACTGTCCTTGGTTTAGTTCCTGGGTTGATACTTTGTAGTTGTTTATTATAAGTATCTTTGTTGATGTATTTAGAACACTCATGGAATGGTTGCTTCTCAGAGGTGTCTTCCAGATATAGCTGGTCTTTAGGTTTTGAGTCTCTAATGGCTCTGAGGCTGTCTCATTTTCATTATACCA